TGTGTAAGTCTTTATCCTGCTCAATGGAGCATAACTGTTGACTGATTAGATTATTTTGTGTCTGCCAACATTTATTTTCATAAATGTTGTTTATAAAATATCAAAACCAATAAGTACGAATTCATATTTGTTTTATTTTTATTTTTCGAGTAATTCGACTAAGTATTTACTTTTGATATAAAAATATGTAGAGATTTTTGAACAAAATAGAAGTACAATGCTATAATAGCTTATATGCGAGTATATCTATTAATAAAACGCTTTAAATAGACTGATTTCTCAAGATCCGATATAACGATTTCTATTTAGCGATAATCTTTTGCCATCGCGGCTTTGGTCCTCTGGTTATTGGTTCAATTACGGGTCCTTTGTGCGTATCATTTCGAGTTATGGACATCACCACCAATATATCCTTTATTTAGAATAATTTAAAACAAATATACGCATCTTCGATTATATAAACAAATTTTTCCTTTTGCTTTTTTCTAAGTACTTGTAAACATGCAAAAATAATATTGTTTTGAATAATTTACTTACAGATCAGCTAATTAGCGCTCTTATCATAAATGAAGATCAATAAATGGAACTTAACTCTCATTTTTGGTAATAGCTTCCTAAAAAATTTAGTTAAGCTGAGGCCAGCTGAATATATGGCATTATTCATTCATGTTCGATCCAAAATAATTTTTATGCAGCTAAATAATAATCGGTTTGGAGTTACATGCTTTAAGTTCTAATATGATTTGAAACTTGGCTCAGAGATAATAAAAAAGAAACACTTTGCTTTAGAAACAGTAAATTTGTGCAATATTGAATATTTTTGTACTTAAAAAAAATGTCCTGTGTAATATGTGTAATATTCATGGTGGATTTACACTACAAGTATATATTCATTTGTGGGAAATGTGATTGCCAACAGGTTAGAGAGCTTAAGGCCTTTACACTTCTAGCGCTCAACTACCACAAACATTTGAAACACATCCGCCAAAATCAACTCAAATGAAAAGAAAATATATTTTTTGCGCTTAGAAAAATAAGAAATAGTAGGAAATGCGCGAAAATATATTTCCACAAATTAATTGGCGCATTTGGGATACTCTTACTATATTAGGGAATATACATGACTGGTGCCAACCGGCGACGACAGGAATTGTGGCAACAATGGGCAGCGTAGTTCCATCGCCACCAAGTGCTTTACATATATGTACAAATACGCAAATACATACACCCACACATACATGTACTTGCATTCATGCTCGCAGTATAAATACAAGTTGAGTTTTTATGTTTACGCGCCCGCCTAAAAGGCTGCACGCAATTTTTTCATTTGCCAATGTTTTTTGTTGTGTTGCTGTTATTGTTGCTTTTGCTCTCAGGCAGCTTATAGCCGTGCGTGCCACTGGCTGTATCTTTCGGAGCATGTCTGTGTGTGTGTGTGTGTGTGTGTGACTCGTACGTGTGTCGGTTTGTTTGCATACAAAATTGTACGTGTTATTTTAACTTTGCCGCTTTTATGTTCTATATAATTTTTGGTGTTTTTGTTTTAAGCATATCTGTTAAAACCAACAGCAACAACATATACAAAAACAACAACAATGGTTGATACAACAACAGCGAGTTTAACACCTTGGCAGAAAAACAAGTTTGCGGCACTTGCTCTTGGGTTTACAGGTGTTAATGTTTGTTATTTGGCATGTGTCTGTGTGCGTGTTCGGCGTAGATAAATATGCAGACTACCTATCAGCTCCAAGACATACGCAATGCTCAGTCCTTGATTCCCATTCCCGCAATCCACAAACATGTGGGTATTAAAACAACAAGCGGTTTCGGTTTCTGTTTCTGTTTCACATTCACATATTTCATACATTCATGAAAAAGGATTTCGGTTTGCTTTTTATTGTAATTAATATGCATACAGTTTTCTGCAACTCTCCTCTCTCTTAAATGTAACACACGTACATATTAGTATTTATTTAATGCTACGTACAACTAAATGAAAACCTTTAAATCAGTATAAATTGATATGAACAAATCAATGTGAGGACTTAATTTAATTCACTTTGAACTTAGAAGAGCTTAAAGTCTAATTAACACATAGTGTATCTAGGTATGTGTATGAATGCTTCTATGTATGTATGTATGTCGGTGTGAAAACAATCGCTTTTCTAGTAATTTGTGCTTGCATCTTTGTTTTCGTTAGCATCAGCCCTTTATACACAGTACACAAAACGCACATTGATTACAGCTTCTTCTACTGGTTGCCTTTTCTGTACAAAATGAAATGTGAATGTAAATGTTTCTGTTGTATTCCATTCCCTTGAACTAATTGAAATCGACGCAAATGAAATTACGATAGACGATTGAAACTTGCACTACGCTTTGCTTCCTTTGAATTATTTACATTGAAATACGCACAAATATGTATATACTATATGTGTGTGTTTATACTCTGTACATGAAATGTACAAGAGTATATTAGGTTTGCGGGAGCTGAAAAATGTAACAGGCAGAAGGAGGCGTGGCAGACCCCACAAAGTATATATATTCTTGATCAGCATGACGAGACGAGTCGATCTAGCCCTGTCTGTCTGTCTGTCCGTCTGTCCGTCTGTCCGTCTGTCCGTCCGTATGAACACCTGGATCTCAGAGACTATAAGAGATAGAGACACCAAATTTTGCACGAAGATGCGTTATGTGTGTATTCTATACGAGTTTGTTTTATTTTTTTGATTTTCCCCCCCACTTCCCCCCTATGGGGGTTTTCCCGATTTTCCATTCGTATAATCGCCTATATCTCGGAGACTATAAGACCTAGGAACACCAAATTTTAGTCCCAGATGCCTTATGTGAATACGCAGAAAATGTATATTTTGGAATTCCCCTCCCTCCCCCCTCTACCCCGCAAATCGTAACTCCCGTAATTCTTGGAATTTCGAACTAAAATTTTGGAAATACCCCCAGTTAGTTATTATGTGTCCGTATGCCAAATTTCATTATGATAGACCGATTTAACAAGAAGTTATAGCCATAAATATATTTGCTGATGCAGCGCTGCTGCAGCGCTGCTCAAGCGCTGCCCGCGGCTGTTGTTGATGTTGCTGTTTGGTTGACTGCGAAAATGCTTACACAGACACGAATTGATGCGCATAGGCATACATACACTCACACAGACGCAATTGCTATGTAAATGTGCAATTATACACCCTTTACGTGAGTTCGAATACCGAGAGAGGTAAAATCGATCAAATTTTTTTTTTTATTTTCTTAATTTTTTTTATTTTCTATAATTATTGTAAACATATGTACAGAGTATTTCAAAGTCGGGACACCCGACTTTAGCTTTTTTACTTGTTTTATTTTCCAACTGTAGGTATCTGTGAACATGTAGGTATGAGTGTATATGTGTATGTGTGTCTGTGTGTGTATGCCCATGATAGCTAAGCCAAAAAACTTTTACTTTACGGAAAAAGCAAATTTCTAACTTGTCTCAATTCACTACACTACTTGTCCTCCCTCTTGCCCTTATCCTTTACCCTTTAACTTTCACTTTTGCTTTTTCTAATTCTTATAGTTTAATCATAGATATGCTCAAATATATACTTGTGTCACTGTATGGTATATGGGTGTGTTGGTGTATGTGTGTGTGACGCGATATTTGCACTAAATTTAACAAATTTGTCTAACGTTGCCATTTGATACATCTGCACATTTCAATACATACGAGTTTGTTTGTTTGTTTGTTGTTGTGTATGTTTGCCTTCTGGCTTGTATTACAGTGTCTGCTGTTCAGTTCGCCCTCTGATATGAATGTGGATATGGATATGGCATGTAAGTTGGGCTCTGCACCAGACTTGTATTCCATTTAATATACATACAAGTATATATGTATATACTATAACACACTTAGCCAACTTTCTGCATTTTGATTGGATTTCAACTTCATGTTAAACGTGCGGCCATTCAACTCGGTTTACGCGTTCTGTGTCCTACCATGTCTAGGGCGTACGCTCCAAGCAGTATACTCTCCTGCAAAATGTAATGCAATTTCCCTAGAACCATTATGCTTCGTTCCAGACATAACAAGACTTTTAGCTATTCCTGACGCTAAACGCTAGATATATGTATAGTATGATTGTAGCCTCCAATTAATTCAAGAAAGTTGCACAGACTATAATTGTTACCAGGAATTCTATAGCACGTGCTATGTGGCCATAGAAAAAGGCGCTATTTGTTAATTCCGGTCTACCTCGAACTGACCTAGAAAGATAGGAATTTTACTCCGTCCCCCATATACTAAGTATAATTCATATGAATTTATACATATATACATTAATTGGCTAATGTGCATTATTTGTTGTCAGCTAATGCACCACGGGGTTCGTGTTTAAAAATTTAGCAGCGTCGCATAAAATAATAGTTGTCGAGCTATAAAACCTGTATTAATTTTCCACCATTAAATTAACATTCATGTACATTCGACACAGCACATCGTTAAAGTGGTCTTTAGCAAGATATGTATAACATGATGATGTCAGTTGAATGATCGATCTGTAACGATTCTCTAAAAAGCAATTAACTATTTTGCAGGAGAGGATTTGCTGGAGCGCGTTTCTTTGTATGCTTGTTGTACCTGCCTGGCCGCATATCGCTTAAGAACTAAAGAAATACGTTTTATATGTTACACTTAAAGTAAAAAATCACTGTTTCATTTATGCTCTGCAATTGAATTGAAATGATGCAAGTAAATTGACGGGATGCTACACGAGTTCCTCATTTAGGTGAATTCTGTACTCAGGAGCCACTGGCAAATCCGCGCCAGTATGATGCTTATCGTCAGGGAGAGCAGCAGTTGGCTTCGATGTTGCAGCAGACTGCTGGCCGGACTGCGCACTGTAATGTTGACAGATTTTAATGGAATGGGAGTGGATGGGGATTGCGATTGGGAGTTACGAAAATAATTGAATTAAATATTTGTCTGGCAAACAAAAGGACGGTTGCGTTTACTCACCTAGCAGCATGGCCTCGCGGTTGTCAATGATGCCGGGGCGGCGCTGCAGGACGCTCTCCTTGCCGCCCTTCCACAGCACCGGCGATATGCTGGCCAGGCATTTGACGCGCATGTCGCCGTCGTGAAAGTGTCGCGGCTCCAGCGCCAGCTGCAGACCCAACGTTGACGTGATTAGGCCATGTTTGTGCACAATATCGTTGTATTTGTACAGGTAGTGCTCGTCCAGTATCTGCAGACAAAAGGGAAACAAAAGCGTGCCGTTAACAAAGTGTAGGCCAGACAGGCATCCTGCCAGACAAATATGCAGGCTGTCAGACGGACAGCCAGCCTGTATAATTCAAAATTAAATGTCTGAGCGCTTGAGCCCCAGCCAAGGATAACACAGTGGTCCCAAATTTAAATGTTGTCGTACTAAAGGCTAAGGATATCTTTTATTTGCTTATCCAATGGAATTCTCTGAGATAACCATTTTAAGCCTTGTTTTGTTTTAGCCCTCGCGGCCTTTTCAATTCGTGTTCAACAGCCCATTTTCACTGCGTACAGATTATTTGTAATTAAGATTGGTTGGAATTGGATTGCTTCTGCATTTATTCAGCCGAATTATTGGTATTTTAAAATGACAAAGACGTCTTAAAAAAACCCCGTACATAAATATTAATGTGCTGACTTATTTATTACACTACGCTTCTTAAATTTGTTTTAAGAAACCAATTTGTGGATTAACAACAGAAATGAAATTTTTGCTTTAATTATTATTTAAAAAAGTGCAACTTTTGAGTATAAGTTCAAAAAAGAAAGTGGCGTGACAGGCACTTCAATTTTATCTGCGGTACGGAAAAGCAACTTTTGATATAAATTTCTTTTTGTTTTAGTAATTGTAATCTGCTTTCAAGGAGACTAAGAAGAATTTTGATAGCCACTTCTATTCGAATTCATTCAAAATTTAATATCACTATCATTTTATAATAAACGAATAGTTTGAAGAAATGTAGACAGCATTAAAAATTAATACAAACTGCCATAAAACTGACATGGCTAGATCGATTAGTGTGCTCGGAGATGTTTCCTTCTTCCTTTCCTTTGTTTTCTTTGCTCAAATCATATGTACATATATCCTTATAATTTTTTAACTAAATAATTCCAGGACTTCAGTGTGTGAATAACTTTTACAAATAGCCTGATTCAAATGCCCATTTTGATTCGTTATATTGTATGCATGATCTATCAGAATATAGAGAGGTGCCTATGGTGGGAAATCACTGCGAAAATGAAAATGTATTTTCAAACAAATTAAATTAAATGTTTTGTTTCATGTACACACACATGCTCTAAGTATGTTTTCCTGTCCCCACGTAAGTCACATAATTTTGGTTTGATTGATGGGACGTGCAAGTGCATGTAAGTGTATAACATTTTATATATAGATTAAAAGTTGGTACCACTGTGCTAATACAGTCCCCCACAGTCCCTCCATTCTTGCAATATGCATTGCATTTTATTATTAAAAGCAAGCATGACACATGGCGCATGAGCAACAACTGAGGCGGCGGCCCTATGGAGGTACTCGTATTTGGTGGAGGCGATGACTGTGCCGGGTGTGCTTTAACGTGCACAGAGGCGTGTCAGACATGTCTGGTTCTTGCAGAGCATTTAAGGACGCTGGGGCAGTCGGGGGCGTCATATTAATGCGACGGGCGACAAGCTAAGACCGAAAGCAAAAGCCTGTTTTTGTGCACGAGGCGAGCCAGCAAATAATGAAAAACGTGTGTGTTCGTTTGTGTCTGTACAGGCAGCAGGAAGGATAGGTGGGTCGGAGACTAGGGCTAGGGCTGGTGCAAGGTTAAAATTATTTGCGCTTTATAATTTCACTCCATTTTTTAATGTTCACAGTCGCTTTTGCTGCTGTTGTCAGCAAAGTGCAATTGAGGGTTGCTTGTTTAGCAATGTAGGGGTGGGTGGAGTAGAGGAGGGGGGGGGGAGGGTAGGTCACACCTTGCGCTTTTGCTTTACTTAACGTTTTCATTTTTTCCAGCAGTGAGTCATGGCAAATAAAAATCATTTTCACTTAAAGCTGCTGCCACTGCCGTTCCTGCTAAGCACGCAGTTTTACGCCAACCCCATCCCCCCGCCCTCTTACGAATGAGCATATACTCGTAAATAAGAAAAATGGGCAAAAGAAAGCAATGCAGATAAAAAATGTGAAATGATCAAATAAATAACTTGAACTTATTGTTGTTGTTGTGTTGGTGGTATGTGTGATTGTATACGCATTGCTTTTCCCTAACTTTGTGGGTGGCGATGGTGTGAAGGGGCTGCTTGCTGGGTTTCGAGCACAATGCGAGCACTTTGCAAACGAAATTGTTGCAATTTATTATGTGATTGGTTCCCGTTCCCCTTTCCGTTCTCTATCTGTGTAAGTTTGTGTGTGTATTTGTATTTCCCCCTCCCCTCTCACCACATCCGGCCATTTTATCGGTTCTATAAAAATTACAATGCTTGAAAAGTTTAATTCAAAAAGGTCTTGCTGCTGCTGCTGGGGTGGGGAGCTTACAGCATAAATTAAAAGGGCGTTCATGCTGCTGCTCCTGGCCATGCCAGCCATACAGCAATAGCAATAGCAACAGCAACAACAACTTGCAAAAAGTGCCGGCAGCTGTCCAGTGTCGTGCCACAAACACAACAAACAAGCAAAAGCAACAACAAAGAATGTCAAGTAATACGAAACATGTTGGCAACACAAACAACACCAGCACCAACAACAATAACTACAACAGCATAAATGAGGGCATTTAAAATATTTCCCACATTCTAAGGCGTCCAGCTAAAAGCTGTAAGATCTGTTCTTCCTTCTCCCTCCTTCCACTCATTGCATTCTGCCTGAATGGGTGGCAGCTAGGTAGCCAGGCAGGCAGGCGAGCAGGATACTCGGAGCCGGCTACCAATTTTATTTCAACGCATTTTGTGGCCAAAATGCAAACATAATAAATTTGCGAAAATTGCTAAATATTTCAGGCTTGATGGACATTTTTATTGTGAATTGTTGCAGCGCCTTTCCCGCCTGTCTCGCCTAATGACTGCCCCTCCACCCGGCCCGTTCAAATCGGTCGGTTCGTCGAACCAAAATTAGAACACAAAAATAAGAAAGGAAAGAATCGCTATCGAAATATTTTCGGATGAAAGCTAAAAGCATACGGTAGCAGCAGCAGCAGCAGCATGCCAAGCTGGTTTATTAAATAAACGTCTAGCAATTTTATTGTGTTCTGTTTTGGGACATAGGAAAAAAAGGAGTAGAAGCAGGACAAGGGGAGAGCACACATACAAAACCCATTGTCGAAAGGCAAATAAACCGGGAAACGTGCCTAATCGCATTTATTGATTTTTCGTATTTATACAAAGTGGGCGCGGCCCATATATAGTATAGGCGACTGCTCTCGGAAAAGAGGAATAGAGGTGCCAGGCATGGTACAATGAACTAACTCGTACCTTAACGCCTCGATTCACACAATTTGAATGCCATGTATGACGATAAAATGCAGTGCCTGACCGCACACTCACACTCACACATACACGCACATGCTCACGCATACGCAGGAGTGAGAAGAAGAACTCTCAACAGCTCTACAGTTAGGAAAATAAGTTTGCTCAACTTTCAGAAGACCACATTACTAGGAGGAGGGTTCTGTTTATAGAGAGTTTATTTCTCTTAATCTGGTATATTCTTTCAATGTCTGTGCCATAGTATTAAAGAAGTTAAGCTATCCTACAAATTTTCCTTCTGCTGAGAGACATTTTTCATAATTTCCTAAAAACTTACTTCTATTACTATTGCTATCTATCTCATAAATAGCGTTAATAAGATAGTTTTTAAGGAGAGAAAGGACAAGTATTTTATTTTGTAAGTACTGTCTGTTGTTTAGAACTATTATCTAAGAGATGTCATTGTAGTTTGGAGAGGCTGGCAAGTTTTTCCATTTATGTAGGTTTTCAAATGCAAATCAGTTTATAAGGAATGTCTTTAGTGTTAACAAATAATTTAGAGTTTAATGCAGGAATATACAAACAATTCCATCCTCCGTGGCTTTGACGACAACTATCGATTAATTACTCATTTTATAAAATTCTTCCTTGAGTCTCACAAATCATTAATTATCAAAAATATTTTCATTTATGTAAGCGTTCAAATGCTAACTGTTAAGTATCAATAATGTTTTCAAACTTGATTTGAGTGAAAATTGTAAATTTGAATTATTGGAGGAAAAAAAATCAAAACCAAAAAAAAAAAAAAAATATCATTTAATTTATTTGAAATTCTAAACTGCTGAAGATAATTTAATTGAAATATGTCTACTGAATAGTTTCTGTTCAGTTTTTAAACGATAGAGGAGCATAGTTCCCGTTTATTAAATGTATTCTGAATATACTATACATATAAACTCTAAAGCAATTATATTAACTTCTAATAAAAATGAACTGAACCACAAAACACAAATCAATAAGAAGAAAATTCAAATGATTTGCCCAAGTGTACAGCCCTCTTGTTTCGCTACCGTTTCATGTTTCGGCGGCGACTGCAGACATGTAACGAGCTTTTTGGGCCAGATGGATGGCGGGCCACAACTCCATATACAGCTACAGGCAGATCTACGGGCAGCTACACCTACACGACTACACCTAACAACAATACGTATAAACCATGTCAGACCAAACAAGCCAGCCCAGCCCTACATGATGATTTTAGTTCATGAAATAATTTTCCCGCACAAGCAGGCAGCTCCCTCGTCCGACAGAGCCGACCTTCCTCTCATCGTCCAACCACAATCTAACGACCACTAAGCTCAGTCAATGTTGCTGGCCCTCTGAGACCCTCGGCTGGTTGCATGGCTTAGGTTTCGGCCAAACGCTTTCCTGGTGTTGCTGTTGTTGCTGAAGCTGCTGCGTTGTTGTTAAAGGCTTAAATATTTACTGTATGCATAATTTTACAATTTTTGTACTGCTGTTGTTGTTGGGCCAACTTTTGTCGGCACAGCTTGATTAGTGGCGCATTCGCGCGCGTTTAGGCGCAAAAGGGTCAGTTGCTATATCCTTTTTATTTTTTTTTACTTAAAAAAAAAAATTTATTTGGGTATTCGTTTGCTCGTTTGTTCGTCCGTTCAAATGCAAGTTTTTTGTTTGTTGCTGTTGTTGTGGTCGGTCGAGGTGTTGTTGTAAAGTTTTTGACGTTGCCAACTTACCGGCTGCTCATTGACGAACCACTGCAGATGGGAGGCCGGGTGTGATTTCCCCGATGTGCAATTTAAATATAAGTATTCTCCAATTTGATACTGATACTGTTGACCCTTGATGTGTGGGCCGTCGCGTGGCAGAACTGAAAGAGAGGGGAGAACAGTAGCCAGTTTTAGTATGGGGAGTAAAGCATTATTATGCAAAGCCATAGACAGTAATAAAATAAATTCCAAAAATGTTCAATAAATATATTTGTGACTATGATTTAAGTCATACTCTTTGAAGATAACTTCTTAAAGCTTGCACTTATGTAAGCATTTATGTTTGGTGGAGATGGAAAGTGTACTTTTAAATCAATTTAGCTGAAGTATCTGTTTTTATAAAGGTAATTGTTGCATTAATGAGTGTAGTGGATTTTATAAACTTGTTATCTATACTTCTATATTAATATTATAAAGAGGAAAGAATTGATTCTGTGTTTGTTTGCTTATTTGAATTTAATAGGCTCTGAAACTACTGGCCCGCTTTAAAGGATTCTTTCACTGTAGGGACGCTACACTATTCCCGGTTAACATATTCGATAATTTAATTGCGAAAAAGATTGGGATCCTTACTAAAACGTCAATAATGTAACCTAAGGTGTAAACAAATTATGTAAAAAATTCATAATTCCCGTGCAAAGTAGTAGTTTTTAGTTTTAGAAATTGAACAGAATAGAATAGTCCTTTAATAATAATTGAAGTCCAGCTCTAGATCTATGGACGCGATAATTCCGCTTGATACTGAGATACAATAAGGGAAATTCAATTTGAAGAGAGTCTACGTTTGGGAAATTCAACTCCTTAGTAATGAAAAATTTGAGTCAAGGTTCGTCCAAGGAAATTAATAAATTATCTTTCAAGCTTTCTTTCTTAAATAACTACGAGCAGTTCGGCAATCGGTTAAACTGCTGAACCACGTTTTCTGATTTCTTCTTCTGATCACTTCTTTAAAACGACTAACTGTTGATTGACGGACGAAGCCAATTCATTACATCACGACCTGCACACATTCTTTTAAAAAATTTAAATATTAATTAAAGCGAATTTTTCACAACTGATAATAAAACTTGTTACAAGGTTGTCCATTTTTTTTCGTAAAAACTTGTGGATTTTACAATTTATTTTAATTTTAATTAATTTTTTTTAATTAATTTTATTTTATTTATTCAAAAACTGATCAAAACACTTTACGTGGCTCTCAAACTAAACTATTTCTATTCAAAAAACGCGCGAATATTTAAAGGTAGCAAGCACGCTAAAAGCAATTAAATAGATACAACATTTTTGCTTAATTCCTGTACAAATATTTTCTATATGACAATGGCTTTTTGGAAAATTGAAAACAACCGCCAAAATAAGTAACCACTATGTAATTCCTGCAAATGCCAAACGATTATGCGTTCGAATACACAAATACCTATTCACGAACAAACATGTAGATTGCACACTCCCACACGCACTGAGTTATATCAGCAACTAATATCAAAAATATAACCATAAATATTGGCTCGCACTTCGGGCCGCGTAATTTATTAACAATTTTTTTGTTATGGCCACCAGCAGCCTGTAAATGTTTGTGCCTTTCAAACAGCGAGAGCAAATAGCAATATGTTTGTGCACGTGGATTGGCGTGGATGGCGAGGGGCAGGGAAGGGACAATACAAATACATTTGCGAAGCGTTCAAATAAAATAGAGCCGCAACGCTCACACATACACACACACACACACGTACACACTCATATCCAGTCCGACAGATACACTATATAAAGTTTGTTGTACGCAGCCATGCTGCGGAAATATCCATTAAAATGGCATTTTAACTTATAAATCGCTAACGTGGTCCAATGGCTGTAACTGCCGATGCTACCGCCATTGCTCCATGCGCCATGTTGATTTTATGCCCCTGTCTGGCTTTCCCCCCAAACCAATTGTCCGCATTTTTACGTATTCCCATTGCAGCCGCCCATTTCGTTTAAGCAAACAGCATAAAAAAAGGAGCGAGCGAAACTCAAACGAACATAAAACGCTAAAAAAATACTGCTACGGCGGCGCCAGCGGATTACAGAAATATGCTGTTATGAAACTAAAGCTTATGAATGGCTTTTTAAAAGCATTCCAAACGCAAAACAAACAACGGACAAGCCGCATTAAGCGCTGTGCCCAAAACGAACTGCCAAAGTATGCAAAAAAGGACGAAATAAAAATAAAAATGGACAGCAAAACATGCAAACGAAATGAAATGAAGTTGCATGCAAAATGGCGACACGGCAGCCATTTTTAAATATGCAACAGTTTCGTTTTAGTGTCCCCGCAAGATGTTAAAAGGATTGCACGTGTAATTTTTTCTGTTTTATCTGGGCTCTGCCATCAAATGTGGGCGACGACCCCAACAAAACGATTGCTGTGTCAAATAAACATCAACTATAGTTCCAGATTGTCTTTGAAGAAAACTCATCGGTATAATAAAGTAATGAACTACTTTTCTAGAAACTTTTTATATACTATATGTATGTAAAATTTATGTTTTATTAACTAACTCTAGGAATTAAAGATCCCCAGCCAAAGGACTTTTTATCTTCTATTAAATTATCATGCATTTCTGCGGACTCGATCTTTAGTTGAGCATAAAACTTAGTAGTTGTGTTCATAAGGGTGGGGCTGTTAAGTGAATATTTCTTGACTGATTAGACTCTTAATCTAAGTCTTTAGTTCGGAGAACCCACACCTTTCTAAAAGGCACGTCATTTAATTTATCAATTTCCAAATATATTTTTAGCGACACTTTGAAAACCGAAAAAGAGTGCTCCAATTTCAAGGGAATATAAGTATTGTCAACCTTAAGTGCAACATCTGTGCCAATTTTTTATATACTAGTATATGGATGTAAGTATGTCCGTGTATGTACTGTTTGCCAGTGTTCACTGAAAGTCAGTTTGGGAAGCGGAAGCATATTGCCAAAGCAAAACAAAGAGAACAAACAGACGAATGAACAAACAAGAACACTGCTGTTGCTTTTGCTTTTGCTTCAGCTTCTGTTTCTGTTTCTGCTGCATATCTAAAAGATTCAAATTTAATCTCCACTCCTACCCCATGCTTATGCCGCCTTCCTCTGCTCCCTGTGGGTTCGTTGTCTCTGTGTGTAGTTTATTTACAATTTCAATATTTGCTTGTAATTGCACAGAAATATTTGCGCAAATATTTGCACATTTCTGTTGGGTTTATGGTCAAGTTTTATGAAGAGCGGGCAACACGTGCTCGAAGCGTGCCTCGGAATCGATTGTAAATTCCCTATGCATACTTTCCACTTAAGTTCGTGTATAGGTAAATGCGGTCTGATACTTACAAACAATGTCCATGCGGCCCTCGCCCTGCACTGATGAGAAATTTGGCGCTTCCGCGGAGACTTCACAACGATAGACGCCCGTCGAGTTGAGCGTCAGGCCGCGCAACAGAACCCGTGAGCTATCCGATAGTTCCTCCTGCAAAGATACGCCAAAGCATTAGCATAAGTAAACAAGATTTCACAAGATTTAAAAAATATGAGCTACGTGAAAATACTTGGGCCGAAAAGCGGCCTTGAAGGCTACTGCAATTTTGGGCTCAGAATTCAAAAGCGAATTAATATTGGTATTTATAATTTGATTTATTTTTAAACCTATTATGTGTTTTGTGTATAAAGCACGTATAGTTTTTATACAAGCTAAAAAAAAATGCTTGACTAATTAAACAAAATTCATACGAGCATTTTTTCTATCACAGTTTCTGCAATAACAGTTTTAGTTTTTAGTTTTTTGGCATCAGCTGCCTGTGTTATGGTGACCTTTTCAATTAAGTGTGTATAGAAGAACACGGGAATTAATCAAATAAACATTAAACGTTTTTTTTACAGAAACAAGTATATGAAAGGGCGTTGGCAGCTTTTTTCAAACGGGGGCCAAGGAATTTAAATTTTGATTTAATAATCCACGATGTCAACATTGTTCCATTTTAAGGCGAAATAGTGTGTCATAATTGAATCTTTGGTCGAGTTCATATGGTCCTGCCCGCCCTGCCGTCACCCTTGAGTATATGCCAATTTGGAATATAAATACTTTATATTTCTGATAAAACATACTTCTTGACATACTTCATGATCATGAATGTATGTATAGTATATACTCGTTCATGCAAAAGAATTTGTTTTCTTATTTAGACTTTTATTTGATGTCAACTTATTTTCTGTATCAAAATACCTCCTGAAAAAACTGACTTAAAGTCACCTAGGTTCTTCAAAAAGTTTAACATATTTCTCCGAAATTAATAAGATCAAAACGTTGTTATAATTTGAACTACTTTGGACAAAACTATACGAAGCAGGTTTCCGTTGTAGACTGCCTATGTTTTTTACTGGCAATTAACTAAAGCTCTTACTATGATTTCTCAAAAAATGATCAATTTCAAAACAACAAAAATAAAGAGTTCTTTTAATCAAGCTTGTTGAAGACCGCATAGATTGAAAGATTTTTAGTTAAGCGTAACTCTCAAAATTAAAGCATCATCAGATAGACGATTAAGCAATTAATTGATGTTGGTTTCCCCCATAACATTTAATATTATTCGACCTAAGCAAGTAGCCTTTCCAATAATAGTTTTTTACTATTTATTCCCCAAGAGTGGTGGACGACTACTTTTAATGCCGAGTTTTCGACCGAATTTCTTAAAAAATTTATAAAATTATGATAGATTTAGTGTTAATGTTGAATAACACAAGGATACATTTTTAGGAATACTTACAATAACGCGCACGCCATCCACTCGGTAGCTGGTCTTGGGCGGCCGCGCCTTTGGCACATAGCGATAGAATTCCTCATTGTCCTTGTACCACTTAATGGCGTACAGAGCCTCGCCCTCCTGTTCTGGTTGCTCTTCCTCTTCGGCGCTCTCCTCGAAGCTGTCCCCGCGTTCGAAATCGGGCATGTAGATGGAGGAGCCGGAGTTGCCAGCACTGCCGCCGCTGCTGCCACTGGTACGGCTATTGAAAGTGCTGGCACCCACATGACCACCAGCCAGATAGCCGGAGGCAGCGCTGCCACGATAAACGCTATGCCCGTAAGGTGACGGCTGCGACATTGGTGGCTGTTGCTGGTACGTTCCCGCCTGGTACTGACGCATAGCTATGGGCTTCTGCTGTTGCTGGCGGCGGGAGCCATGTCTCTGCTGCTGCTGCTGCAGCTGCTGTTGTTGTTGCTGTTGATAGTTGCGCATGCGCCTGTAGGCCGCCCGTTCATCATCGCGCTCGTCCACATCGACGTAGTGCATCTCATGCATGTTGTCTGTGTGGGTGCGATCGTGATCCCGATCCCGATCCCGATCCTGGTCATGTCCATGGACGTGCTTGCCGCTGTGGGTGCGATTCAGCTCGTACTGGCATTCTAGGTAGGCGGACTCGCCTCTCAGCTTGTAGGATGGTATTGATACCTTAATCATGCGCAGGCCAAGTGTGAGACCTGGAAGGAAGATGAGGAATATTGTGAAATGCTTGTACGAGTACCATCGAAATCAGAGCGCGTAAATTGTACACAGTGAATCAATAAACTTAAACCACCTAAAGACATGAAATTTACATAAAATGCAAATCAGCAAGTGGTGCAGGGAGCGGGTGGAGGAGGCATAAACGGGACCGGATGCTTGACAAGCAACAGCCAGCAACAGCCAGAGAGCAGAAGCAACAGCAACAATGGAGCACCCGCAAAAGTTCAGTTATCAATAAGTTCGCTGCAAGGCATACGCCAAGGATTACAGCAAACAGCTATGGCTCTGTGAATGTGTGTATGTGTGTGTGTGTGTGTGTGTGTGTAAGTATGATATAAGTGTGCATGTGTTGGCAATGCAGCTGAAAGGAAAAAGAGGAAAATTAAAAAGAATATTTCTGCTTGGCAGCTCATTTTTGGGCTGTTGAAGTTGTGCGTGTGCAAATTTTAATGCGCTGCAAATTTTCCGTTTCCGTAGACATATTTAAATAATTGATTTGTCCCCAAGGGCACTGTTGATTGGCATTTTGGGAGTATCTACTGACATTCACATTCACACAGTCTGAAACCCAGACTCACACTCAGACTACGGATGAGACTGAAAGTGGGCGAATCGTTAAGCTGGCACGCCTACAACGGCAAAACAACAATTATTATCGGTTTTAATTAAAAGCCAAAAGCCTGGCACGCCAATTACTTATTTATGAGTGACAATTTGAAATATGCATGGCGCAAAGGTGGAACTAAGCTTACTCCTAGCTGCGCACACAGTGAGCAGTAACCTTGCTCTGCCACTTTCTTTATGTCCTTGCTTTATGCATTGCTGGCGCCTTTTCCGCCACCAGCGCCATCGTTAGTGTTATCGTCGTCCCTGTTGTGCGTCGCACGCCAGCTCGTAAATATTAATAAATGAGTGCGTAATCGCACTTAATCCTTTGAAAAAATACGACTTTGCTCTCCCTTTGGCTTCAAATGATGAGCTATGTTTCCAAATATAAGTGGCCTCTATTTAATTTGGATGCTTTTCTGAAGGCTTTTAATATTCACAACAGAAATTGAAATGACTTTGTTTATAAATGCATTAAAATAGCTTGACTGATTTGGCAAAGAACGAGAACCATAATACAAGTATATATGGTAATTCCACATAAATAACAATTAATAAAAAATATATAAATAAACAAGGTTTTAAGAAATATGACAGCAACAAAATGTAAACATTTTATAATTTATAAATGTTGAATTTATATTTTAGTTACTAACGCTCTAATTGTTGACAGTAGAGGCACGAATTTAGTATTTGGGTTTATAGAGGAGCTCATGGAGATTTAGTCCCGTCAAATGCACAACAAAACCTTCCAATATTTGCTAAATTATGCAACTTAAAATGATGCTGAAATTCGTCTCAATGGTATGTAAATGAAGCACGTGACTAGTACATTAGTTATAGATTAATATTTGTACAAGTAGTACTAGGATATTGGTAAAACTAAATTACACATAAATGCTTCTTTTTAACTAATCTGCTCAACAGATGGAAAGTAAATACGCCTAACAAAATTAAATGCAATTGTTTAGTTACATTTTAGTTCACATATTACGTTTTAGTGGTCACTTATGTTGAGAGTAATACCATATTTTATCGCAGAGGCTCAGACTAAACAGAGAGATCGCATTCTAAAAACCTGCAACCATCCGCTACTTTTAAAATTGTAAATTGTCAATTTGAAACAGTAAGCTCTTTCTCTCCGCAGCATCTCTATATTGAATGCTTAACAGCAACTGATTGAATTGAACTAATTGAACTTTACAATTTTGCATTTTATCGAAAATACAAAGAGTCCTTTCCACTGTGTAGCATTAGGCCGTTGTTTGCCTTCGTTGCAATTGTTGTAAATAAATAAATACGCGCCGTTTAGTGGCTTAATCGCCGTTGTCCACTGCCCCTCCTCCCCTCCCACTTCGTTGTGCATTTTCCCACGTCCATGTCCGTTGGTGTTCATTCAGCGTTAAATTAGAAACTCAGGTGATGGCCAGGCGGACAGTCGGGGCACATCTTCTATTTTCCTATGGCCTGTCAGCACACCACTTGCTCTTCATAAATTTTTTAATAACCCACATAACTGGCAGTGACATTAAAAGCTACCAGCCGATTCGCACACAGGCACACGTACTATACATCGTATGAAGCTGGCTCCCAGTTAGCTTAATTGGCTTGCAGCTGCTTTGTGAAGTGCTTAACAACTTTTAAAGACACTGGGATTTAGTGTAAATGAATTAAATGCAAAATTCAACTTGTGCTGCAGCTGCAATTTAGTGATTTCCGACTTTTCATCTTTGGCAACACAAAAAAGTTTCGACTGCATTTTAAGGCAAGTTTTGAAAACTTTGTCGTTCCATTCAACCAATGGCCATGTCCAGAGCGGTGCAAAGTGGAAATAGATCGAACTCGAAAGCCTTTGGCCTTTACTTGTATACTCGTATATGAATATATATAAAAATGGTTGTGTGGGAAGTGTGGCAAAATTCATTGTAACTAATTACACTTGACATTAATTAAAATGGCAGGCGATGAATATTTTATGATAAGAATTTTTACAACGCACATTTCGTGGGATTTTATTGTACTGCGCGTAAATTAATTTGGGAATTTTATGAGGCTTTGGTCTTAAAATGCGCACAATGACAATTCGCAACTCTCTTCCTAGCTTCAGATTGCCTCGAAAATAGCTGCAGGTGGGTGTTGGCCCGCCGATGTCATCACGAGATAGGCAACAATAATAACATGAAAGGATTCCGCACAGTTTTCATAAAATTAAATAAGGCAGAAGGAAAAAGCAGACGGGGACTGAGATGCAGCTGATTAGATAAGTATGAAAGGCAGGCAGCTACAATTACAATTATGTGCCTTAAAAATACACACCCACACCCACACATCCACACACAAACGCGGCAGCCGAGTAAACACATGTCATTGTGGCTACATTACAACATGGAACGTCTTAATGTTAATTAAAAACAGCAAAGTCGTCCTCGAGCTCCAATGAGCTTGTCGCCAAAGCCAACGCCAACGCCAAAGCCGAAGACAAAAGTGTCGACGCACAATGGCGGGGATAGGAATGGAACGGGTTTTAAAATAACCAGAGAGTGGCTTTAAAATAATTGGCGGTGTAGTAAATACGAACAAATGTGCACGTTGTAGATGTTCTCTGACTATTACAAGTATATGTGTAGGAGTGAGTTTTACAAGCTATATAGTAGAAAGTCGGTCGTTTCCGGATATCAAACTAAGCATTAATTTCACATTCTACCTATTTTCGCTCCGGATTTTCAGAATTTAAAATGAATTTATTAAACTCGTTGGCGACATTCCCGACTGAGTTGCACGATATAACGATATAGATTTTGTAGTTTTCTGATATAAAGCTTTTTTCCTAGTTTTTATTAATAACAATGTGTTGCATTGGTTGCTGAAATACAAGTTTATTAATCATATTAGAAAAGCTTGCAAGCCGTATTAAAATAATCTAAATATGTTTCTTTTTCCGTAGGATCAATGTCTAAGTTTATTAGGAGAGGCTGAAGTTAAATATATTTTAAACTCTTCCACAAATGCAGGTAAAGTATATTTCTACAAGTTTTCTTCCCAGCGGAAATATCTACAAGTAAGTTGGTAACATTTTTCATTTTTGTATTTCTATATAAAGCTGAGTTGGATTTCAATTGAAGTTTGCTGTAAAGTTTTGGTACAAACGTGTAAAATATTTATTACAAGATTGTAAATTCAGCTTTGGATTAGTTTTCTTTGGTAGACGTGCAGGTGCTATAAATAATTAAAAGATTTCCATACTTTCCCATCGTACTAGCATTAAAATGTGACGACACTCGCAGCAGTATGTATATACAAGTATGTATGTCGCACCATTCAACTGCCTGTCTGTTCTTCTGCCTATCTCTCGGCCTGTTTGTCAGTCAGTCTGTTGCTGAAAGTTCCCATTCGCGCCATGAAATGTGCGCCCCTTGTCGAAAATATAACATTTAAATTTATATAATTTTCGCAGTGTGGTGCGTGCTTTAAATAAATTGAATATGCATAAGTAGCAGAGCACCAGTACCAGCAACAACAACAACAACAACAACACGGAAAGTTTTAACGAAAAGTAGACATCATTTCGCTGTGCAGGATAATTTCGTTCATTAACGCATATTTAAGCAAAACGCCTCGCTTAAAGGTTAAGCAAGTGGCCGAGGCACGATGGCTGTTGTAGTTGCTCATCTTCATTCTCCATTGGCCTGTCGGTTGCTCCTTAGGGCCGGTTTGCCTTAATTTGGGCGTTTAGCATAATTCGATAAAATTGGCAAACAAAGCGATGGCTTCGGAGTAGAATGGAAAGGTGGTTGCGACCGTAAAAGTAGAAAAACAAACAAACAAAAGCAGCAACTGTGAAATAGGTAAAATCAATGCGACGTCGACGCCGGCAACGGCAACAGCGGCAACAACAACAACTACTCGTACAACAACAAAAATAGCAAGCAAGGGTCGGTGCAAATAAGTCGAGGCAGCAGGTGGGCCGCAAAAGTGAGTGCGACCCTAAACAGCGCATAATGAGCAGGCGGCCAATGTCTCCCGTCCGGGCTGCCCATTTATAAGATAAAGCAGCAAAAATCTGTCGAAGCAGCTCTGTGGGGGAGGTCAGGAAGAGGCTGGTGGCTGGGAAAGGTACACATGAAAACGGTAACGGGGACACGCACCGCTCAACTTTATACCACTAATGAGTTTTGCGCCTTCACAGCAATTATATGAGCCAGGCAGGCAGGCTGGCAGGCTGGCTAGTCTGGGTTGTGCCGGGTCCAGGGAAAGATTGCCCGGCAAAACGGACAGAAAAACTTTGCTATCTGTTAAATCATTTAGCGTTAAATGTTGGAGACCTAGCCAGTCTGCCAGCCTGCCAACCTGTGCGCCAGACAGCAACTGG